ACAAAGTTGGGTAATGCTATACCTTTTTTAAAAAATTTAGTGTCATACTATAAATATTCTCCATGTCATGCATTCATCTAATATTTTTAAGAGAATCGATATTCTGATGAGCATTCTTGTGCAGAAATCTTTGTGCACATCTCTGAGAGGAAAATCTATACGATTACTTTTGCCACTTTAATGGGACACAAGCTGGAGCCAGAGGGCAGATCAGAATTGGGCCAAGCGCTCTGGGCCGAAAGCATCCCTTCTGCTTCTCTTTCCACTCGGTTCTGTGTTCAGTTTTCCTTGTCTGTTCCTTCCACTTGGCATTCACGCCTCCTCCTCCCCAGCTCTTCAGGATTGATGCTGCTTTCACGTCAAAGCTCACTCGACGCCGTCTCGGCTGGAGGGTCTCCGGTTCGCCTCCCTCCACCACCTCTGAACGCTTGAGCAGCCTGATGGCACCCCTGGGTCCTTTGCAGCAATTGCTCCTGGAACCTACTCGTTTGTTCAGTCAACACATGTGTAGTGAGGGCCGGCTATGTGTCACGTACACATGCTAGGGTCTTGAGGACTCAGCAGTGAACAAAGGAAACAAAGCCTGGGCAGTTCGTGAGTGGCAGAGCTGGGATTTGAACCTAGTCTCTAGAGACCTACCAAGGGTCCTGGTCCGGGACAGAAGGTGAGAGAGGGAAATAAAATGTCTCCAAATTAGAAAGGAAGGCCTAATATTGTCTTCAGTCTGTGCGTTACCCTGGGTAGACTAGAGAAACAAATTCACAGACGCTCATGGGTATATAAGAAGGGGCTTTATATACAAGAGCAACTGTATTTTAAGAACACCTAGCCCCAACCAGATCAAGTCCATAAGCCCAATATTAGCCCATATATCCAATACTATTCTGTAAATTCCTCTTTAGACTCACGCAGACATACAATGATGCTGAATGCAGGAAGATCACAGGCCAGGAAGTGAAAAGTCTTGTGGATCCAGTGGCGGTGGAAGCATCTCAACACTGGCAGGGGTCTCCACTTGGCTCCTCCCGCTCTGGGCTCTGGCTGCACCAGCATAGCTCCATCAGGTTTATCATCAGGAATGTCTCGCAAGGAGTGAGTGTGTGTCCCACCTCCAGCGAACTATTGAGCTCCCTAGCACCTCTAAATGAGGTCATCAAGTTGCGACCTGATTGACAGGCTAAACTCCACCCCTTCACTCTTAAGTCTCAAACTGTCAACAGATTATGTACCTACCCCAGTCAGTGAGGGAGGTAGATGGCAAGCAAGCAAACAAGCACATAGAGGTTACTCTTCAGCATCTATTTTACAGGTGCTGCTACTGAGGAGCCCTGGAGATCAGTGGTTATGGGTTGGGCTGCCGTCCACAAGGTCAGCAGTTGGGCACCAGCAGCTGCTCCCACGGTGAAAGATGAGGCTTTCAACTCCTGTAAAAAGCTTCAGTCTTGGAAACCCACCAGGCAGGCAGTTCAACCGTGTCCTGTAGGGCTGTCATGAGTCGGACTTGACTCAATGGCAGTGAATTTGGTTATCGTTTGAATTACGTCCCCCCCCACTCCCCAAAATAGGTCTTTAAGTCTACTCCTTGGTTCCGGTGACTGTTTGAAAACAAGGTCTGTCTTAGTTGTCTGGTGCTGCTCTAAAGACAGAACTCTCAAGCAGAAAGCAGATGTTTTGAGAAGGATGAGGGCAACAAATGTACAAATGGGCTTGACACCATGGATGGATGGATGGATGGATGGATTGTGATCAGAGTTGTATGAGCCCCCAATAAAATGATTAAAAGCAAAACAAACAAACAAAAAGACAGAAGAACTCTACGTGCTCACAGTGCAGGAGCCTGCTCCAGGGAGGCTTTCTCTCTCTGTTCCCTGGTTCCTCGGAGATCTCCAGGTGGCTCGACATCCATCTCCTCCCGTCTCTGCTTCATACCCAAACTCACTGCCATGGAGTTGATTCCGACTCCCAGTGGTCCTAATGGACAGGGCTGTCCCTGTGGGTTTCTGAGGCTGTACATCTTTATGTGAGCAGACGGCCTCTTTCTCCCACAGAGGGGCTGGTGGTTTCGAACTGCTGACCTTGTGGTTAGCAAGCCATCCGGTAACTTCCTAGGTTCTTTGCATTCTCTGCCTATTCAGCTTGGTTCTTATCTCACAGGGGATCCGTGTAAGGCACCCCCTACAGTGATATGACCTCATTAACCTAACAAAGAGAGCCTTATTCCCAAGTGGAATTGTATACATAAATATAGAGGTAAGGGATTACCCTATATACTTTGTGGCATTCAATGCAATCCATAACAGGCCCACTGAAAATGTTCATTGCCCATGAGATCATACCAGAGCAGCGTGGGGCCTCAGGAAAGAGAAGAGACCCAGAGGTCCAGGAAAGACAGCCCTGCGGAGATGACTCTACCCGCCAAAGACTGCCTGAGAGACAAGGAAGGAGCTTCCCATGAGTCTGGGGAAGGCGGGAGGGAGATAGAACATCCTTGCCTGGGCCTGCGTTCTGATATCTATCCCCCAGACTGGTGAGACAAGAGATGCATATTCTTCATTTTGGCAGCTCTAGGAAAAAGGACGCTGGTGGCGTAGGGGCTATGCACTGTGCTGCATGCCACAAGGTCAGCAGTTCGAAACCATGAGTCCTTTATAAAGCCTCAATGCCTCCGCCTGGGTCCGGAGACTGCCTTTTTTACAAATCCTCTGGGATGTGCAGTGGTGTTTCTGGCATCCATGCACCCACCTGATGGTGAAGAGAGTGAGCAGATGATGGGGCAGGAAGTCACCTTGGAGCCTAGTTCAGCTGCCGATGTATTTTGGAGACTCAACGACCCCAAATGACGGTCAGAACCAACAATGGCCCCACAATAAGCCAAGTTGTCATGAGGAATCAATAACAGGTTGTTTTTTAAAGCAGCCAGTGAAGGCCTAGGTCGTTGCGAGATGTTCAGTGAATGGAGTAAGTCAGGTGCCATTGAAACTTGGGAACTCCCAGGGGCAGCTCTGCCCTGTCCGACATGCAGGGCTGCTACAAGTCGGCATGGAATCAAAGACAGCGAGTTTGGTTTTGAGCATGCCTGCGCAGGGAGCCCCGGGGCATTGTGGGTTATGCACTGGGCTGCTCACCACCAAGTCAGCAATTCAGAATCACCAGGAAGATGGGGCTTCCACTCCTGGAAGGATTTACAGTGTGTGAAACCTACAGGGGCAGCTCTGCTCTGTCTATTGGGTAGCAATGGGTCAGAATCAATCGGATCCCAGCGGGTTCTTTGGGTGTATCATCGCTGCATACAGAATCCACTCTATACTGACACACATGACTGCCACGCATCAAGTCAACGCCACAGCAACAAAGCACTTGTTGCTGTCAGGTGGATTCCCATTCGCAGGGGCCCTACGGGACAGAGTAGAAGTGGCCCCCAGTCCCTCATCTTTATGGAAATAGATGGGCACTTCTTTCTCCTCCTGCTTAGCCACTGTGCCACTAGGAGGGTTGTGAAAATGGAAGGGGTGGAGGCTGTGTTTGTCCCAACAAGATGGCAACACTACCTCACCTCTTGGTCCAGGGGCGCTCAGGATCATGCTTACACCTGGCTGGGCTATCTCCATTCCCAAGGCACCACTGCCCTCTTCTGGCCATGGCTGGGCTCAACAGATGCGTCCTTGCACTTGCTTTTGCTCCAGTGCCTTCAAGGTAGGGAGGCATGTGAGGCCACTTGCCCAGAGACCTGGAGAGCACTAATATTTGTATCAGAGATTGTCCCACAGGTCTGGTAGTCATAAGCCTAGCTTAGGTGAAAGAAGTACCCTTCTTTTGAAGAATTATCATCTCCAATTCTCAGAGGTGGAAACCTAGGGATTCGTACCATAAACCATACAGGGTAAGGGTCAGGGTGAGGCTAACAAGAGGTGAGGGAACTGGTCTCATTTAACAGGTCATGGAGGTGAAGACACTTGTGTCTGGGACATGGAAAGTGTTCAATTCACTAAATATATAAACATAAGTGAGGATCTTTGTGGGGCCGTGGGGCCTTTGAAGCACCACAGGGTTGATGGTTCAAACCCAGCCACTGCTCCACCAGAGAAAGAGCATGCTTTCTGCTTGCTTAATGATTTCTGGTCTCAGAAACCCCGTGGAGGGTCCCTGTGCGTGTGGATGGACTCGCTGGCAATGGGTTGCTTGATTTCGTTTTCTCTCTCCTCTTCCCTGTCATATACACCTGCCTTGTAAGGGTTGACTTGTTAGACAGTTTATTATTTTTCTAAAAGAAATGCTAAAGTCAACCAACTCACTCAAAAGACCTGGGAGTGAGACCCAGTGTGTGTCTGGAGCATGGTTGGGTGGGAGGTGCTGGGACTACTAGCAACTGAGAAAAGGGGCTCCTCTTTGGGTTCAATACAGTGTAGATCTCCCACCTCACCCCTCCCAATTCTCCATCCTCCTGACTTCTCTCATACAATTAAAAAAAAAATCAAACTCATCAGTTTATTGTTGGAAAGAAAACCCCGCGGTCCCTTTCTCAAATATCTATAATCCTAGTAAACAATATGAGGCAGTTTGGGTCAAAGCCATGTGTTATCTAAGGTGACATTTTATTATACAGTACTCAGGCGCCCTGGTGGCGCTGTGGGTTAGGCGTTGGGCTGTTTTAACCGCAAGGTCGGTGGTTCAAACTCACCAGCCGCTCCGCGGGAGAAAGACGAGGCTGCTCCTGTGAAGACTGACACCCTCGAAAACTCTGTACAGGGTCACTAAGAGACTGAGAGTACGGCTGGAGGGCAGTGTGTAGGAGTTTTCCACAGGTCCCGCCTCCTTAGAAAGCTGCACGGCAATTGGCTCCTCCGTCCCCGACTTTAACCTGATGAGTGCCAATCATCAACTGGCTGAGCGCTCCCATTGGTGGCTTCTCTGGGGCCCCGCCCAGCCCGCCCGGCGAGCGTCGGCGGGGATTCGCCAATGGTGCGTCCCCGCCTGCGCCTGCGCAGGTCATTGGCGCCAAGATGGCGATGGAGATGAGGCTTCCCGTGGCTCGTAAGCCCTTTAGCGAGAGCTTGGGTCGCGAGACGAAGAAACACCTGGTGGTGCCGGGCGACACCATCACGACCGACACGGGCTTCATGCGGTATGGGGGACCTGGGCGCTCGGGACTGCCGCGAGCTGCTGCGGGGCTCTGCACGTGGCCTCGTAGCCCGTAACCCGCGCCCCGGGCCCAGCCCCAGAGCGCCCGGGGGGTGGGCTTCCGGCGCGGGGTGCGTTCGCGTTTGCCCGTGCGCCCCGAAGCCCTCCTCCCCGGCCTTCTGGCGGCTCCTTCCTCCGCCCGCAGTCTTGGGGGATCCGGCGCCGAGCCTCTTTCCTGTTCCTTTCTGATGTCACCTCCGCCTCACTGGGGCTAAGCGGGACTGGGGTTGGCAGTCAGTCCTTGTTTGGGTGTAGGACAGGCAAATAGGCTGTTGCATGCATCGGGATATACGAGCTTTGGGGGTCTAAAGGCAGTGTCGTTCGCTAAAAGAACAGGGTTTTGAGTCAAACCGCCCTGGTTCCAGACCTGCTGCTCAAAACTCGCGCCATCGAGGTAATGCCAGGGCTAGAGGCCCTACAGGACAGAGTCGAACTGCCCCTTTGAGACTTAAAATCTTTACGGGATGAGGGAGCCTCGTCGTTTCCCTGTGGAGTGACTGGTGGGTTCAAACCAGGGAGCAGCTCAGTGCTACCCCGAGTCCTGCCACAGTCCCCTATTACTAGTTCTTGAATGGTGTTTGATCATTTTTTAAATAATGACAAACAGGAATATCTCTTAATGTCCAGAAAACAAACCAAACTCACTGCCCTTGACTGCTGACTCGATTCTGTCTCATAGTGACCTTGTAGGACAGGGGAGAACTGCCCCTCTGGGTTTCTGAGACTCTTAACTCTTTATGGGAATTGAAGGCCCCATCTTTCTCCCATGAAGCTGCTGGTGGGTTCAAACTGCTGACCTTGTAGTCAGCAGCCCAAAGTGTAACCCGCTATGCCACCAGCGCTCCTCTAACACTGTCGTGAGGATTACATGAAAGTTATCATTTGAAAGACATAACCCCCATCATAATCCCATCTTCACAGAGAGACAGGATTCGTATGGGTGGTCTTTCAGCTTGTGGTTGTTTGCAAGGAGTGGGGGGGGACCCACGTACCCGTGGGGCGGCACAGCGTTTACAACCTTGCCTTTGGCCAGTTTGGGGTGACTGAGTCCTAGGAAACACGAAAAGCCGTTGCTCGTTCATGCATCCAGCACCTTCAGATCATGTACCATCTAACAGGGTACAACCGTGGTTCCGATGGGGTTAAATTCTAACAAGGAGGGACTAATAACGAGCAAGCACGATAAAGAAATAGACAACTCATGCTCGATGGTAGATGTGATGGAATGAACAGAAGCTGGGCAGGGGCATTGAGAATATGGCAGTACCGGCCACAGAGTGGATTTCTGTTTTCAGGGGGTAGGTGTGATAGAGAAAGGGACATCTGAAGCAGAAGCAGTGTTCCAGGCCCGTCAGATAACCAGCCACCTAATTGCCATCGAGTCGATTCTGACTCAGAGCAACCACAGAGTAGCCGTGATGAAAGCCAGGCTTTTAAGGCACAAGGGGTCTTTGGGGGGAGAGGTCACCCCAGGTGTTACCCTGGTATCTTTGCTCTCTGTCTTGTGCCAGGGGCCATGGGACCTATATGGGGGAGGAGAAGCTCATTGCATCGGTGGCCGGCTCTGTGGAGAGAGTGAACAAGCTGATCTGTGTGAAAGCGCTGAATACCAGGTGAGGATGAGAGGTGTGTACTCTTCTCTTGGGGCATTCCGTACTTCAAGGCCAAGTCTCTTGTCTCCCACCTCCCAACTGCCCTCTCGCTCCGAATCTGATTCCGAGCCCGGCTCTAGGAACGACGGCATGGAGGAGTGCAGCTTTTGGGAAATGAAAGCCCAGACTGTCTCCCTCATAGGGCTTTTGTTAGCATTCCATGAGATGCTAACTCGGGCACTCAGCGCAGAGCTTACCACCAGAAAGGAAGTTGGTGGTGTTGGTACAGTGTGTGTGGAGAGGAGAGGAGATACGGGCAGAGGAAAGGTGCGGGTACGGGGGTACACAGAGTGGGCACCTTTGGGCTTTGGGTGTGACCTGGGAAGACCCTGGAGCGGGTAGAGCAGAGGGATGCGATCTGATGGTGCCTTACATGAGGTAGAGCAGCCACAGAAGTGGGCAGTAGGGATTTGGTTCTGCGTGTACTTGGAAGGTAGCTCTGGCAGGTCTCCCGCTGGACTGGTCATGGATCATGAGAGGCTGGAATCAAGGATGTCTTTCCAAGGTTTTCGCCTTGAGCATTGCGGGGATGAAGTCATTTACGGGGGGAAGAGGAGAGGAACAGTTTGCTGGTGGTGGGGAGGAAGGTGGTGGGGGTCGCTGCTGGCAAGCTTAGTTTTGGACTTGTTATGTCTGGAAATGCCTACTAGTCATCTCAGGAAGAAGCCGGGTGGTCAACAGTTGGCTAGACTGGAGTGAGTGAGGTCGTTCGTCATGGGTGCGTTCACCACTGTCCGATTGTGCTGAGAGATGCGCGTGGACCGAAAAGGGCAAAGGTCTGATCGCCAGCCCTGGAGCACTTCATCATTAGAATCCGAGGGGTGCGGGGTTACTGGGGGAGGAGGGACCTGAGACAGGGAATAGGCCCATTTGACTGGCACGGTACCTCGTTGCGGGCACACTGTCTCCAAATCTCCATTTTCCTCTTCTGGCTAGTGCAGAGCCCTTGGGAAAACGCCCCACACTGTACACGACCATGCAACCTAGCCAAATAGGTTTTTCAGGCTTCATAAACTGTGTGATAAGTGTTGGTTTAAGAATGATTAATGGCCATTTTATACACGGAGGGATGTGTGAAGCTCTCGGTTCCTGAAGGTGAGTGCAAACAGCCTCGTCAGGGGAGCTTGCTAAAGGCCCGGGACAGCCCGCATCCACTTGGACGAAAGTCCCATGCGGTGTTTGGTCACTGTCATGCCAGGTCTGTTCACTGATGAGCTTTTTATCTTTCAGGTATAACGGTGAAGTGGGAGACATTGTCGTGGGGAGAATCACAGAGGTAAAGTGCTATCAGATTGATTTGTAGCAAACAAGGGCAGGCTGGTGAGTTCATGGACGGGGTGGTCAGCCTGTGGTGCGCGTTTGACGGTTGGGCCACCTTTGCTGGAAATGCCTGGCTTGCTTCAGGTGGGATTGTCAGTCACCTGCGGCGTGAGCCCCTCCCTCCGGAGTATGTAGCAGCGGTGGAATGTCTCTGTAGGTTCAACAGAAGAGGTGGAAGGTGGAGACCAACTCCAGACTGGACTCAGTCTTGCTTCTCTCGTCCATGAACCTTCCCGGAGGAGAGCTGGTAAGGGTCTCCAGCGGGGTCTTGCTTGCTCAGGTCAGCCTTGAGGCCTTCCGCACCGCCAGAGACCTCGGCTCTACCCAGGAGTTTGCCTCTTTTGCTCCCCTTTGCCTGCTGTGCCGTTTGCTGCCTGCAGGTAAAGGTAGGCTCAGTCCCCCCAGTGTGGGGAGAGGAGGAGGAGCCACCATGGAGCGGGATCCGAAAAGAGAGTTGGGAAGAGGAGCCCTAGACCCTTGGTGTAGACAGTTTTCCTTCTCTGGGTCTAGCACCCGTTGCACAGTGAAGGGTGCGTTGCAGAGCTGCTTTGAGGTGGTTTTTGTTTTGTGAGTGAGGGGGACTTGGTTATTCCAGGCACGATTGCACTCCCTTGTAAAATGCCCGGTTCACCTCGATCTGCAGCCCAGCCTGTGGGCCGAGGCTTAGGGTGCTAGGTCCTGTGGACAATGCCGAGACAGAGGAGACTCGATTGACTTCTGAGAGCTCTTTCAGACTGGCAGGGGCTCTGTGATCATGAAGCCGCGCCCCTGGCAGTGGAAAAATAAACAAGCGTGTAGTTGAACAAAAGGATGGATTAATTTCAGCGAAAGGAGATCAGTAAGTCGATCCTTGGAGGATGGATAGAATTTGAATGGTGTAATCAGGAATTCTGAGATAAAGGAAATGTGCAAGCAGAGATACCGTGAAGTAGGCAGTAGCTTGGTCCTGTTGGGCAGGGAGGGTTGGCACAGAAAGGCTGGCCTCGGTTGGGAGGGCTTTGACCATCAGGTAAGTCAGTTGAGGAGTGTTCAGTGGAGGGAGGTGTGTGAGCTGGAATAGAGGGTTGTCAGGCGTTTATGTTGAGGGCACAGGTGATCTAAACAGGCTGTAGTCCTCAGTGTCTGAAGGTTGCAGTTGACTTCATAGACCTGTGGGGAGAGGCGACAAGGGGAGAATGGGGACTAAGTAACGTGGTCCTTTCTCGGTGTGTTTCAGAGGCGGCGATCTGCAGAAGATGAGCTTGCAATGAGAGGTTTCTTGCAGGAAGGGGACCTCATCAGTGTATCCTGCCTGTTTCCTGTGGCGCTGGGCCTTGTCCCAGAAATGGTACCGCTCTGGCAGGAGATCCCTGTAGCCCTGCCTGGCGTCTGGCGGCCCAGGTTAAGTGTCCAGGTCTCCTTCCCTCGGGCTGAGCTCGCTGTTCAGACCCGAGCACAGGCTGAGCTCCAGCGTGCTTGGTGAAGGTTTGACTTTTCTTGTACGGAGCGGAAAGAGTGGGCTTCTTCCCAGAAACCCTTGACAACCAGAAAGGAGAGGTCTGGTCACAGCGTCCTTAGAGCGGGGTCTGGTGGAGACAAAGGGGACGGATGGGGACGTTGGGGTCAGGCACATGGGGTCGGGAGGGGAGGTGACGGTGGGCCGCTGGTGTTTTTCCTTCATCGCTCTGGCCAGGCTGAGGTACAGGCCGTGTTCTCCGACGGAGCCGTTTCCCTGCACACGAGGAGTCTGAAGTACGGCAAAGTAAGTTGGGTGCTTCGTCTCCCTGTCGGTTGGCCAAGACTTCACGGCTGACTCTGAGTCCCGGAAGCTCTTGTGGAATTCTCACCCAAGAACCTACTCAACGCTGCAGCGCTGGCCTCCCACTGTGTCAGCACGCAGAGTGCAGCGCGGGGAAGGTCAGGAGCTTTATAGAGGAGGACAGTTCCATTCCTTTCCTGCGGTGGGGCCAGAACCCCCAATAACTGTGGACCAGGAGGCTCTAGTCACTGTAGCTTCTAGAACAGCGGTTCTCAACCTTCCTAATGTCCCCACCCTTTCATGCAGCTCCTCATGTGGGGGTGACCCCCAACCATAAAACTAGTTTCATTGCTACTTCATCACTGTCATTGTGATGAATCGGGCGACCCCTGTGAAAGGGTCGTTCACCCCCACCCCACCCCCCAAGGGGTCGGGACCCACAAGTTGAGAACCGCTGTTCTAGAGGCACGCTGCAGATTGGCCCTGGGGTCAGGGCTGAGATGCAGTTCTTGGAACAAAAGGAGCTAACAGCCTGTCTCGGCCCTTAGCGAGACATCTGATCAATAAAATGGGTCTTAGTTTTAGGAAAGATTGATTTATCCCTGGAGTGAGTACCTGGATTTCTCTTGTATAAGGTTACATTAGTGAAGCTGTTTGTTTATGTTCAGATAGCATACGTAATAAAATTACGACTTTATTCGTTTCTTGGCCTTATTGGTATGGAACTCCCTGAGGGTGATGGCCATCGCCACAGCATCCAAGTCCCTGCCATGAAAGCCCAGATGCCACCCTGCAAATACTGCCTTTCCCAGGCCCCCGGCACACATCTCACGTGCACGATAGCCAGTGCAATTAAAGGTGGCATCCCGGATCATCGAGTAGACTCGTAGACCCAACAGGAAGCTCAAACCCAAGCCCTCATTAGTACTGTCTTCTAAGAGCCAGCTCATCAGCCTTGAATGTCATGTAATGACCACTGCAAGGGAAGTTATCAGAGAATTAGAAATTGCCTTCTCTTGGAATGTATAAAACCCTATGGATTTAGATGTTTTTATGTCTTCTGAGTGGTCCTCCTACAGTGATTTGTGCCTCCCCCCCCCCCCCTAGCTAGGCCAGGGAGTTTTGGTCCAGGTGTCCCCCTCCCTCGTCAAACGGCAGAAGACTCATTTCCATGACTTGCCGTGCGGTGCCTCAGTGATTCTGGGGAACAACGGCTTCATCTGGATCTATCCGACGCCTGAGCACAAAGAGGAGGAGGCCGGGGGCTTCACTGCCAACTTGGAGGTGAGTCAGCCCCGCTACTGGTGGTGGGACGGAACAGCCCTTGATGCGAAATGTGTGTTTAAAGCCTGAGTGGGGCGGCATGTCCACCACGTGTGTCTGTGAGCACTGTGGTGCCGCCTCTCCTTTGGGAGCGTTGGAATCGGGGACTGTTGGCAAAGGTGATACAATTGCACGCACTCAAGAACTATGGAAG